ACTTGATACTATTTCAGTCTTGGTGAATTTATTAATATTTGTTTTGTGATTGATCCTAGAATATTTCCATGTGCATGTGAAAAGAATATGTACTCTTTTTTAGAGTGCAATTCCCTATTAACCTATTAATTCCATGTGGTTTAATTCCTTTTAAAGGCTGTTGCTTCCTTGCTGATTTTCTGTTGATCTGTACGTTGATGAGAGTGGGATGTTGAAGCCTGCTACTGCTATCATGTTTTACCAGTGTCTTTTTTTCAGATTTGTAAATAGTTGCTTTATATTTTATATATCTTTATATTTATATATACTGATGAGTGATATGTATTATTGATATATTAAAATCACTATTACAATGTCCATCTCTGTATCTTACTACCTTTTTTATCTGGAAATCTATTTTATTAATATAAGTCCGGCTGTCCTTGCCTTTTTTGGGGGTGGGGGGTGTCCCATTTGTTTCTAGGATTCCAGCCATTTACTTTGAGCCCGTGTTTATTTTTAGAGCTCAGATAGTATCCTGGAGACAGTATAAAGTTGGATTTTGTCTGATCCACCTAGCCAGTCTGTACCTATTTGATTGCTAAGCTGAATCTGTTTACATTTAAGGTGATTATTGATATATGAAGATTGCCACTCCCAGTTGTCTTTAGTTTTCTAGTTATTTCCTTGTTCAACTTCCTGAGGATTTTTTTCCCCTTTGATTTAGATAGGAGAATTTCCCCTTTGATTTAGATAGGAGAGCTCCATTAAGCATTTTTTTTTTTTAAATAAGGGTAGTTTTGTATTTGCAAAATCCTTCAGCTTCATTATTTCTATAAAATAAAGCCTTTTATTTCTTCCTTGTAGCTGAAGGCGAGTCTTGCTGTATATTGTATTCTTTCCTGGTAGTTTTTATTTTTAACTATTTTGAATATGTATTCTATTCTCTCCTGGCTTATAGGGTTTCGTCAGAGAAGTTACTGATGGCAGTGAATTTGTAGGTTATCTGCATTTTTCCTCTTGCACCATCTATATTCTTTCTTTGTCTTGAAAACTATGTAGTTTTGTGACATGAACACAAATGTCTTAAGTACTAACAGCTACTGCAGGAAAGACATACTAAGATACTGTCCTTTGTTTTAAATTCCTTATTCGAGGAGCTTATATTTTCTGAGGCAATATATCTTGAAAGGTTTGTGTTTTTCCAAAAGGGACACTTACAAATATAGCAAATGCCCTGCTTATTTTTAAATCTAAAGGTGGGTAAGTGTAAAATCAAAATTATAACACTAAATGTATGAAAATATAGGACATGGCAGTAGAATTTTTAAGTATACTTGAAGATTTCATTAATATATGATATATGCTTATTTTAGATTGACTTGTGAATGGGATGGAAATATGTGAATCAAAATAACTGTGTGAATCAACTTACAGAAATTTCTCTTTAAGAAACAATTTAGACAACTGAATTGCATTATTCAACATGGATTATTTTGTATAGTGTAGGTACTTAAAGTCTGTTTGCTTACATAGTAGTCAGGAAGGGAAAAAGAAACGCCCCTGACTGAGCTTTCACATTTGTTTGCTTTGCAATTAGGTAGAATTCTTTTAACTTATTTCCTTCTAGTAGAGTTACCATTATAAACCAGCTAGACTTTCTCTAAGACTCATTGTAGTAGAAGATCAAAAGAGAGGAAGAAAGAAATAAAACTTTTTAACACCTTTTCCTTTCCTTTATTAAATTGAAGACTCTACATTTCATGTTCCAACTCTTACTTTAATCTCCTCCCCATATTTTCTAGTAATATGATGTTTGATTGTGTACTTTGTCTGCCAAATTCTAATATAGCCCTGTATATTCTCCGTAGAATTGGTTGAATTAATATTTAATTTTTTAAAAAATTTATTTATTTGTATAGAACTGGGGTACAGGCCAGAGATGCGAAGGGTGAGAGGATTCACCAGAGACAGAGCGGGGAGCAGAACAGGCTGACTGACGAAGTACACTGCTGAGGGGAGCAGCGGGCCGGTCCGGAGAGGTCTGCCATGCCAGGTGGATCACCTCTCTGGCTCGGGATGGTACTCGCACTGAAACGGCTGCTGCCGATTCCCGGTGCTGCATCCTAACCCGTTGCGCCACCGGGGAGGGCCTAATATTTTAAATTTTTATCGTGAGCTGCATTTTTTCATAACAGTTTTCAACTCAGAGCAGGTTTTCCCCATAGGGCATCTGGAAATATTTTTAATTGTCTCACTGGTGGTAGTTCTGGTATATATTGGGTGGAGTCCAGGATGCTAGTAAACATCCCATCTTGGACAGGACAACACCTGTCTCCACTAAGAATTATCTGGCCCATAGTGTCAGTAGTGTTGAGGTTGAATCTTTAAGGAAATAATGTTAATGAATTTCCTTTGTAGTAATGTGGAAAATGTATTATTTTGGTCCCCATGAGATATTGCTACTGTTTGGACTAGAAAAGTATAAAGAAAATTTGTGAAAAATTTATGCAAGGTATGAACAGGAGAAAATAAAAAAGAAACCAGAACTAGACTGAAGAAACTCTACAAAAAAAGGGGATGGAAGCTTTTCCTAAAACTGGTGTTACTATTTTTAAGTGATTAACCCAAATATATGCATTTCTTATAATATGTTGGAACTCTTGGGCATCTCAGAAAATAGATTCTTGGATTTTAAAACCAAGAAGTCAATATCAGAATTATAGTTATTACATAGATGTTATTTTTGGGTGCTGCCATTTTGAAAGCCTTTTAAAAATAAATGGTTAACTGTAGCTTTTTTATTTTCTGAAACAACAATTGTACTTAAAAAGGAAGGAAAGAATTTTGAATATAAAATTCCTATATTGAACTTAAATTTTTTGCTAGTAATAGGGTTAAAAGGTCAATAGTTTTAGCCTTGGTTTTAAACTAGCTATGTGACCTTATATAGTCATTTAATCTACTTAAAAATGAGTATCCTCTAAATATTTGCTTGCGTACTTGTTCTCTGTTTTGAGGCATTTCCTTTTCTCTGTGATGTTTACTTCTGAATTATGATGAAAAAATTTTAGGTTAGTTGCATATGATTCAGTGTCTAATGTAACAACATCTGTATCTATTAGCTGTGTCCTTTCCTGTAAATTTACTTCAGGAAGCTGCAAATAAATGTGCAGGGTGATTTACTTTTTATCACACAGAGCTTCTAATCTGTTACTCACTGAAAACATTTTATTTCTGCCACCACTTTTAGAGTGACTGCCCTAGTAGGTGAACAGATTGCTGTGATCCAGAATGAAATTAGTAAGACATTTATTCTTAATAGTTTTTAAGGAATTTGAGAAATTTTTAGGAATTTGGGAAAATTCATGGTCATTGAATGATTTATGTTGGATGAAGAAATAGTTCTGTACTTAAGTTATTTTGGGATTAAAGATTTTTCTATCCAGGCATATGAAATATGCATCTGTTAAGACCATAGGTTTTTTATTGTAGTATAAGCCCTAAATGTATCATTTTGTTTTTGGATATTCAAAGATATCTTTAAGATATAAGGGCTTTTAGAAAAGAATTGTATCACAATATATTTATTACACCTAAAAAATAAATAGCAATTCCTGAATATCATCAGATATCTATATAGTGCTATACTTTCCCTGATTGTTTCAGAATTTTTTTTCACTGATTTATTTGAATTAATATCCAAATGGGTATGTACATTGCACTCCACTCAGTGAATTTGTTTTTTCATTAATCTGCTAGGTGGAAGATGAGACTGAATTTTCTTAGTCTTTCTGCCACTCCTAAACTTCCTTGTATTGAATGTGGTTTTTATAGAGAGAGATGGATATTTCATTCTTGGCCTTTAAAATGGTGACCATTGACTTCATCAAGTTTGCTGAACAAATTGGTTATCAGCAGTGATGCTGGAAGAAGAGATTGTATTGGATACATTGAGTGACTGTACATACTCCAACAGGGGGTGTCTTTCTAAGGGAGTTGCATGAGTAGTTATGATTATATTAAATTTTGCTTGGGTTGCCACTTTAGTATCTGTCCTATTTATGCTTCCACTCTATGGTAAAATGAAGAGAATTAGCATTGGGAATATGTCTGCATGGTTATTTGAGTTCTTTTCTCTGAATAAAATTTAAATAAATGTTTTTCTTTTATGATGCATTAATGACAGTAGTTTCATTTAACATACTTGTTGCATTGCTGAATGTGTATTTAACAGAGTCAATCTGTGGGGCAGGCCAGGTCACTTTCCCTTTTATTGTTCTTACCTAATGTGTTGGTATTCCACTAACCAGGGGGTGTCATTCATGTTGAGTGAGGGTGGGAAATGGCAGGTGAGTGAGTAGTGGCAGACTACTACAGATGCTTCCCTCTACTTCCCCACCAAAACACTTATTATATTCTGTTTATATCTTAAGATATCTTTTGAGAACAAGAGTTATGATTTACAGTGAAATATATTTGACAATGCTTTTTGTGTTTGTACTTTGGGTAAAGACTGATCCTTTTTTAGGAAGTATATTTTGTTTCTTTCATACTTGGGTAGTATATTATTATTTTCATGCAAAAACTTATGTAAAATATATCTACTTTGACATAGGAAAGCAGATAATTTTTTAAAAAGATTTATTTATTTATGCATACACAATTGAGGTACAGGCCAGAGGTGCAGGGGCGGTGAGAGGATTCACCAGAGACAGAGTAGGGAGCAGAACAGGGCAGTTGACAAAGTACACTGCTGAGGGGAGCAGCAGGTGGGTCAGGCAGGAGAGGTCTGCCTCACTTGGGGTGGGTCAGGAGAGGTCTGAGTCACCTTGTGGGTCACCTCCTGGGCGGGGATAACTGATGCTGAAGTGGCTTTAGCGTCTTAGTGCTGTGCCACCAGGGAGGGCCTGGAAAGCAGATAATTTTTTAGTGACTTGAACGTTCATCGTATGATTTCCATGTTTTGGTATAATGAAGTTTTTAAGTTTACTTTTTAGATATTTGTTATTATCCTTTAGGTTTTGAGCAGAGCTCACATCTCTCGTCTTATGAAATTATAACTCCTTGGAGATTAATTAGAGAACGAAGAGAAGCCCCTAGGCCCTATTCAAAAGAGGTAAGTTGCTTCTCTATTTTATGCATATATGACTTATTTATTTATAATATAAAGGAAAATTTGTACCTTTTTTTTTTTTTAAAGATTTATTTATTTGTACATACAGAACTGGGGTACAGGCCAGAGGCTCAGGGGTGGTGAGAGGCTTCACCAGAGACAGAGTGGGGAGTAGAACAGGCAGATCGAAGAAGTACACTGCTGAGGGGAGCAGCAGACGGGTCAGGAGAGGTCTGTCACGCCATGTAGTCACCTCCGGGGCAGGCTGGGATCGAACTCATGCAGAAGTTGCTTTAGCTTCTCAATGCAGTGCTTTAACCCACTGCGCCACCAGGGAGGGCCAATTTGTACCTTTTGACACCCTTTCTCCACTTTGTTTCCCTTTTATGCTCCTCCCGCACTTCTGGCAACCACCAGTTTGTTTTCTGTATCTATGAGTTTGTTTCTTTTATTTAGATTCTACAAGTAAGTGAGAGCATGTTGTATTTGTCTTTCTCTGTCTGACTTATTTCACTTACATTGTTCTCTTAAGGTCCTTCTATGTAGTTGCAGGTAGCAAGACTTCTTTTTTCAATGGCTGAATATTATTCCACTGTCTGTCTAAAACACTCATTTTTTTTTATCTGTTTATCCATCCATAAAACTTAGATTGCTTCTATGTCTTCTAGTAAATAATGCTACAGTGAACCTGGCATGCTGATATCTTTTTGAGTTAGTATTTTAGTTTTCTTCATATAAATACCCAGAAGTGGAATTGCTGCAGCATATTTTAGTTCTGGTTTCAATTTTTTTGAGGAGCCTTCTTGGCTGTTTTCTGTAGTGGCTACACTTTTCTGTAGTGGCTACGCTAACTTACATTCTCACCAACAAGGGTTCCTTTTTTTTTTTTTTAATGTAGTTACACTTTTATTTATTTATTTTTTTGCAACGATTTTATACAATGAGTGGACAGGAACCTTCACTTCCTTCACTTGTAAAATTACTTTATCTTTTTTTCTCATCACTTCAAGGTTTTTACTCAAACTCTATTGGGTTTTATTTTTCTTAATTTTATTTATTTTTATTTAGTATTATTATTTTTATATAATAGTTTATTTTTACATCATTTTGTGTATGTATTTTTTCATCTCAATTGTAATCCCCTTGGGTTTCCCATCACCGAGTCACCCGTGTGCCATTACCATAGCCCTGTGCACTTCCCTCCGGGGTTTCCTTTTTTCCCATATTCTTGCCAACATTTATTATTGTCTTTTTTTGATAATAACCATTCTATAGGTGTGAGGTGATATCTCATTGCAGTTTTTAGTTGCATTTCCCTAATGACTGGTGACAGTGGTACCTTTTCATATGCCTTGTTGAAATGTCTATTTTAAAGAATGACATTTATTTGGATTACTTCCATTTTTTAATTAGGTTGTTTATTATTATTATTTTTTCTGAGTACTTTATATTTTGGTTATGCTTCAGCTTGAATGACATATATCCTACTCAGATATATGATTTGCAAAAATTTTCCACTACTAAGTAGGTTGCTTTTTCATTTTGTTAGTAGTTTCTTTTGCTGTGTCAAAGCTTTCTGGTTAGACATAGTCCTACTTATTTACGTTTGATGCTCTGTCAAACCCCAAAAATCACTACTAAGATTAATGTCAGGAAGCTTATTGTGTTTCCTACTAGGGCTTTTATGATTTAGGCCTTACTTTTTTTTCTTTTTTTTAAAGATTTATTTATTTGTTCATACAGAACTGGGGTACAGGCCAGAGGCTCAGGGGCAGCGAGAGGCTTCACCAGAGACAGAATGGGGTGCAGAACAGGCAGATCGACGAAGTACACTGCTGAGGGCGGGCCAGGAGAGTTCTGCCACACCATGTGGTCACCTCCAGGGCAGGCGGGAATCAAATTCAGGCGGAAGCGGCTTTTAGATTCTCAGTGCTGTGCTGTAACCCACTGCGCCACCATGGTGGGCCTAGGCCTTACTTTTAAGTCTTTAATTTATTTTGAGCTAATTTTTGTGTATGGTATAAGATAGTGGTTCAAGTTTATTCTTTAATATGTGGCTGTCCAGTTTACTCAACCCTATTTTTTGAAGAAATTGTCCTTTCCCCATTGTATACTCTTGGCTCCTATTTCCTAAGTTAATTGAGCAGATTTATTTCTGAGCTCTCTAGTCAATTTCATTTATCTGTGTGTCTATTTTAAAACAGATACTGCTATACTGTAGGAGGTAAGTTATCTCTTGAGAAATAGGCAAGTCAGAAGAAGTCTCTTGCACCATGTGGATCACCTCCGGGCGGGGTCAAATTTTACCTTTTTTAAAAAAAGACAAGACTATTATTTTCAGCAGTGTTTCAGTGAATAATGTGAATTGTTGAGTTAATGCCCCTGTTTTATAGAAGTAGGAAAAATGAGGGAGCACTTGTACTGATAATATTTGTTGAGTCTGTTCATTGCTCTTTTTTTTTTTTTTCTTATAAACTAAAGAGTTATGGTAAAGTTGAATCTCCTATTTCTAAAGATCATGTTAAACATTTCTGGCTAATGAAGTAGTGAGGTGATCATAGTATATTTTTATTGTTTGAGCAGATATAAAGTTCCTCTGTAAAACACTTTCAATCAGCGCCAATTTGTCTTAATTCAAAATGGAATTTCCAGAGTCCTACACATACTTGTTGAAAAGTATTTTGGTCTATTACTGTTCTTTTCTCCCTTTCTCCATTTAGGTATCTTATGTCATTCAAGCTGAAGGAAAAGAACATATTATTCACTTGAAAAGGAACAAGTAAGGAATTTATTTTACTTTGAGTTTTTAGTAGTTTTTCCCCCTTTGGTGGTGTATTTCTTTTGTAGTTAAATGTTTAATAGATTGATAAAAAGTGAGAATCATGAGTAGAAGCATGGTGAGGGAGGGGAAGGACAAGGAACTAGACGAGGTGAGAAAAGCACAAGGAATTATGGTGATGGTTCATGGTGGTGGGAACTTTATGGGACTACACAATGATGTAAAAGATATTAATAAAAAATATATCTTAAAAATCACACTATTTTGTATTTCCTTTGAAATAGAGCAAGGGAAAATAAGTTTAAGTGACACTTGTATTTAAGAAGAAAACTTTTAGTGGCAGTACTTTAGTACTGTCAGTCTAGCTGCTATAACAAAAAATGACACCAGACATGTAACCAAATGAATTAGCAGAAGTTTTTTTCTTGTAGTTTTAGAGGCTGAAAACCCAGGATCATGGTACTACTGGGGTTGGGGGTTTTATGAGGGCTCCTCACTTGGATTGCAGGGGGCCATCTTCTCCTTGTATCCTCATGTGGCCTTTCCTGGGGCTCAGAGTGGGCTGGGGGAGGAGGAACAGATTTTCCTTGGCTTTTTCTTTTAAGGACATTGTTCTTGTTGGCATGAGCCTCACCTCACCTCATGTAGCCATAATCACATTTGTACTGACACCATCATCCAATACAGCCCCACTGAGGCTAGGGCTTCAACATATGAATTTGGGGGAGGAGGATACCCATTCAGTTCATAAGAATAGTCTCTCATTTCCCCCTCTCTTTATTTTTTTTATTAATTATTATTATTGATTTAGTGAGATATTCTTACTTTTCACTCTTGTAAGTTTTTTCTCAACATAGGATTTCTTCCTGTCAGGTATGCTCACCTTATTTTGCTACCACCAAAGCACCTATAATCCTCCACTGTAGTACTCTCCCTCTCACTCCCCTTTTAATCCCTTCTCATTTTGGCTCATTTCTGGTCCTACTTTGCATTCTGTGTTCTTCGACAGCCTTTTTAAAGTGCCAAGTTCCTGTGGCCTGTCCTGTTCCCTTGTTCCTTTTTCGTGTGTAATAAAACTTTCAAATCCTGAGTGAACCATCCCAGTAAAAAAGACTACCTAATAAAACCATTTACACTGTAGGATGAATGATGGGCTATGGAGTTTTGTTGTCAGGGAAATGGAATTCAGAGTGTCCTGGAATCACCACCAAAAGCATGACCTGGGAGTTTGTCAGAAATTCAAATTCTTTCCAACCCTAGAATGAATCACAGTTTTGGGAGTGGTCACAATAATCTGAATTTTACTTATTTTTGAAAATGCCCATCATGATCTCCCAAACCATAAACTTAGATATGCACAGCAGTTTTCCTTACAGTGAAGTATGAAAGCAGGTATAAGCACTCCAGGAAACCAGGACAAAACTTTACAAGAAGGTGGCCAGACTCCTGAGGTTACCTTTTTTTGTGGTACCTTATTTTTTGTCCTCTCCCTCTTAATTGCTTGTGTGTAGTTCTTTTTATTCCTTGCCAAGTTTTGTATGAAAATCTGAAAAAAAAATAAAGGTCATTGAAGGACTTTACTCCCATGTGAAAAGGAGTAGTGAGCTGTAGGACTCTGTCTCAGAGAATGGTATGTGAGGAATTCTTGTTGGTATTGTATTGCTAGGATCAGTTTTCCTTCTGTTCAATTCTTAGACATTTTTCTGTCAAAATTTTAAGCATTCTGTGTTTTAGCAAGCTTTTTGAGATTTTTTTGTGTTTCCTCAAGTTTGTGTAGCACTTTTTATCTTAGGACTTGATGTTGATTCAAAGGGTTTAAACTTCCCTGTTAGAATTGCAGGCAGTGTAGATAATTTCAGAGTGAGACTTTTTGTAGCCTGCTGCTGTATTTAATGGACTTACTGAACATTTCCAGTGTTCTGTACCAGATAGTTTTATATGTGTCTTTCAATGCTCAAAACTCCACGAAGAGGTTCCTCTTAATGTAAATTAGATCTATATGAACAACTAATAGATCTAAATATTTTCTCCTGCTCTGCTTTTCCGCAAGGAGAGGTGAATTAAAATGATTTCAATAAGATATAAGTTCCTTATGTTTGCATAGTTTTCAGCTTATAAAACATTTTCATAACTTTTATCCCATTTATTGTATTGTCATAAAAGTTTTGTAATAGAGTGTGTTTATTGCTGCTGTGTCCTTGCGTGTGTGTGCCTAATCCCAGCTAATTGTCATGAGATTCCTGTGCCAGCTCTTTTCTTCCTCGTGTTCCTTTTCTGCTCCAACCAGTTGAAAGAAGCTATCATGAAGTAGGAGAAACTTGACAAACAGCAGGTATAAGTGTGGAAAGCATGTACTTCACAGAGAGGAGGCAGTTCATAGAACAGCAAATGATTGAAAATTGTAAACAGAATAGAAGCATTCATCTTTTCTCCCTATCTGATCCCTTCAAAATTTGGAAATTCTTAGAGAGTGTATTATTTTTATGGTAATTTAATTAGAAGTTCAAGCAAGATTTTATTCACCTACAGTTAGTACATAACTGGAAACGTTCGTTATGTTCCTAATACTTTGATTAGCATGTCACATTTGAGAGCAATATGCCTTGAGTCAGCTATGACCATACAGCTTTAAGGGACTCAGGCAGGCTTTAAGGAACCAATGTTTATAAAGCCCCTCTTGGAAAATGAGACCATCCTGGGTTTATAGGGATTCCTGACTTATGAGTGAGTAAAAGAGGTCCATTTCTGGCAGGTCCAGAATTACCTCAGGGGACCTTGAACAGAGAGAAATCCATCCAAATCCACAGGTATTATAGGCAAAATCTGGTGGTGAATTCTTGACTTGGCTATCTGTCTTGAGAAATTGGATTTTTATTGCTCACGGAAAAGAATGTCTCTCTTTATGTGACTAGGAGGGGAAACTGAGCAAGTTTCTTTGCTTGATTAACTTTAGTCAGCTTCCTGAACCTGGACCCATCAGTGCATCCCCTTGTGAAGTCCAGTTTTAGCAAGCACTTTCTACCCTCCATAGTTGATTGTTGGATGTCTGTGTAGGTTCCTGACCTGCCACTACCTTCCTAGTGATTTCTGTCACCCTGCCTGTCTAAAGCAAGAATTCTGCTAGATCAGTTTAGCTATAACCTCCCTCAACACTGATATTTCCTCTTAATAATGTTCTACACTTACTAACCCAAATCTTGGAAATATCTATTTGCTTGTGTTCTGTTGGAGTTGAGCATGAGCTCTTTTCCCCAGGGTAACATTGAAGTGGTTTGTATATCTTTTGTGATGACCCTAAGTTGGCCTTACCATCTTTAACAAGTGTCATTGAATAAGTTTTTCTTTAACAAAGATAACCCTATTTTAACCTATGTTGCATAACTGCTGAGTTCCCTTAAATGGAAGGAAGCTGTAGGAGTCAGTAGTAATTGTTTCCTTCAACAACTCTTTTACCTCTGTACCTCTGTTAAGGCAATGAGTACTTCCTGTTTACATATAACTTCTAGAAAGTAGTACAGACATGTTTTTTTCCTAGAAACATAATGTATTATAATATATAACCTAATTTATTCTTTTTTAAGAGATTTATTGGAAATTTGAGGTATTACTTATGTGTGTGAAGTTGTTTGGAACCAGCATCATGATCTTAACAACAAACATATAATTTCACCCTTCTCATGAGGAACTAATGCAGATGATTTCAGGTTCAAGACTATTTATGAACTTGTAGTTTCATGTTAGCTCTTTATTTAAATAATTATCAAGTGCAAGCTTTTATTCCTGCCTATTTCTTCTAGGAATAATGCCTTATGAGTTGTATCAGCTGTAAATAGATAAAATAATTTTAAGTGGTATGTTTTATTCTTTCAGTGACCTTTTGCCCAAAGATTTTGTAGTTTATACCTACAACAAAGAAGGGGCTCTGATCTCTGACTATCCTGATATACAGGTAATGTATTTTCCTCTTGATTCTATAGCAGAATTAAAAAAAAAAATTGTAATTTGGAAAGGTTCTGTTCAAGTACTTAGTACTATTACATCACACAACCTGAGGGCCTACCTTTAATTGTATCATATATGAAGTGTACCTGGTAGGGGGAGGTGTGAGGTGCTACGTAGACTAAAAGTATATCTTATAGGCCCTAGTATACTCAGCAGGGATTTTCTTTTTTTAAGATTTATTTACTTATGCATACAGAACTGGGATATAGGCCAGAAGTGCAAGGGTGGTGAGAGGATTCATCAGAGACAGCGTGGGGAGCAGAACAGGATGACTGACAGTACACTGCTGAGGGGAGCAGCACCATGTGGTCACCTCTGGGGCAGGCAGGGATGGAACTCATGCTGAAGTGGTGTTAGCTTCTTAGTACTGTGCTTTAACCCACTGTGCCACTGGGGAGGGCCCAGGATTTTTTTTTAAGACATAAAATCTATTTAATGTTAATCCTTACTAATTATGAAGGGGGAAAGTTAAATTCATTTTGAAAATAGTTGCTCTTTTGTTTTGCTGAAAGTTGATAACTCCAAAAGCACATCTTGCTTCCTATTAAACCATTTGGTTTTCCATTAGTACTTAGTACAGAAAAAACAATTGTTTGCTGTTATATGTTCTAATTTTTGCTGAAAACACTTTCTAGAGAGGTATAGTCCACTTTGCATCAAAGAACAGAGGGCTCCTGAGGAAGGAACTGGCCAGGAACACTTAAAATAATCATTATCTATGTTGAATTTGACTTTATATATTTTTAATCAGAGTATAAGTATTTCTAGTTTTACTTGGGAGGAGTGTTTTGTTTTAGATTTTCTTTGGCAGCTTGGCATTATGTATATTTTTTCCTTTTGTAGTAATTTTATAAAAAGTCTTTATTGTAATTAAGTGCATATTATTCGCCAGCTCCCTCTCTACCCCCAACTTCATAGTGTTTTGCTGGGTTGAATTGTGTGTTCACTTTGGCTGCCACAAAATATTTATTTAAATTAACTATAAGTAAATTTAAAAATAAGAAAATGTTGACTTAGCCTTACCCTTTTCTGGTTTGCTTTCTCATTCTTTGATTTTAGTGTTCTGCTTATCCATTGGCAAATTAATAAACTTAAGTTTATGTGGTAGCATAAACTAGATCACAAATAAGCCATCTTTCCTCTCGTCTATATATCCAATCCTCCATCTAAAGAAAACCATGGCACAAGGCCAATGATAATTTATACCATTCAACAAAAGCAGAGATCTTTTTTCTTCTTGGAGAGGTTTCATGTCATGGAATTTGGAGACAACACATTATGTGAATTTGAATCTTGGCTCTGTTCTTTATTTTGCTGGTTAAGTTACTTTAACCTGTTTGTGTTTTAGTATCCTCATCTAAAGTGGGAATAATAACTAGAACTTTGTGAAATTATTGGGAGATTTAAATGAGTTAGTACTTGTAAGATACTTAGAACAGTCTATTTTTAATTCAATAAATATTATCATATATAAAGTATATTACTTTAAATTGATAAAAGTAGTAGAAATTTATATAACTGTTGTCTTAAAGTATTATGGAATTATGCTTTCCTGAATTATATTTTCAGAAATATAAATTAGGATTGTTGGAATCATTTACTAAGGTTATGGAATATTGTTTAGGTAGATCAAGTGTGATTATAGATTTGAGATACAAATTTAAATGCTGGCACTGGAATTTTTCTTTTGGCATGAGTCTAAATTGTTCAATATTTTTGTTATAATTCTGATTATAAAGTGCAGTCATAATACATTGATAAAATTTAAATGTTTTTT